ATTAGGGACGGCTAGCGCAGATAGCCCTCGTGTAGCTTTGCGCGAAATTCAAAACAAACAAACTTTCTGTCAGTACAAAGGTCCTGTCACTGATTATCGAGTATCTGAGGGAGACACGAGTCCAGACCATATGGGAGAAAAGTAAGATGACGAAAACCTGCTGATCTCATAGACGAAAACCAAGAACAAATGTATCAGCGCTTTTTTAGCGATCAGTGGACAAATCAGAGATGTCAAGGTCAGCCTCCTAGCTGAGACCTATTGTGGCCACTGTCAGAGTGTTGACCTGCCTCTAGAGACAAAGGAAACTGACCAACAACGACAAAACCACAAGGATCAGAGATTTAGTGAAGCAGAATATTTAAATTCTAGAAATCTCAATAAGGTTTTTAGAAATATATCACTGGAACTGTATGCTTTTATGAATTTTGTCGTTTAATATGATATTAGAAGTCTTGTGCCCCCCCCCCAGTGGCACAGCGGTATGTCTGCGGACTTACAACGCTAGAATCCGGGTTTCGATACCCGTAGTGGGCAGAGCACAGATAGCCCATTGTGTAGCTTTGTGCTGAAGTACAAACAAAACAAAAACAAACAGAAGTCTTGAATTAATGTTTCTTTGCTTTAGAATTTTCGCGCAAAATTATTCGAAGACCATCTGCGCTAGCCGTCCCTAATTTAGAAGTGATAGACTAGAGGGAAGGTAGCTTGTCAATATCACCCAGCGCCAACTCTTGGGCCGCTCTTTAACCAACAAAAAGTGGAATTGACCTTCACCTCATAACTTATCATCGGTTGGAAGAGTGAACACATTCAGTGATGGGAATCGAAGCTGCGAATTATAAGTAGAGCGCCCTAACCAGCAGATCAGGCCAGACCCTGCTACACAAGAGCCACTTGTGTATATCCGACTCTTATTTTTACACTGATAGATGTAGAGAAAAGGAAGTTAACAAACAGCACCCATTGCCAAGTATTGGGCTACTATTCTCTGCCCGCAATAGTGGAATTTCGCCGTCACTTTTATAGCGCACCCATGGTCTCAAGGTACGATGCGCAGATTTTGCGGCAACGGGAAGCGAACCATGAACCCTCATCTTCACAGTCCGGAACTAGGCTACAATCGACTCAACATAAATGGAATTTTATATCTGTGCCGTGCCTTTAAGTTGTCTTATACCAAACTGTTGTAACAAATGATTCATACCTTATGTTTGGGATGTTCTTTGAAGCCATCCCCGTCACACCAAGCATGCTCACCCTTTCAGCCGTGGGGGCGTTATAATGTGACGGTCAATCCCACTATTCGTTGGTAAAAGAGTAGCCTAATAGTTGGCGGTGGGTGGTGATGACTAGCTGCCTTTCCTCTAGTCTTACACTGCTAAATTAGGGACGGCTAGCGCAGATAGCCCTCGTGTAGCTTTGCGCGAAATTCAAAACAGACAAACAATCTTTGAAGCCTAACAGCAGTAGCTTTAAGTCTTAAATAAAGAAATATGGTCATTCATGAAAAAGAGAGAGAAAAAAAAACTCTTATAAAGTTCAGCTTATAACGTGAGGGCGCGTGAACTTTACCCTAGCGACTGTATAAAGTTGTTTATCTTAATACAATATTTGATAAATATTTCCTGTTTATATCTAACACGTACTTCTTCACTTTGAAACAAAAATGGCCATCCTGTCATGAGTGAAAAATTTTGATACAATTCATGACAAGATCACCAAGATAGCAGTGTTGATGCATAAATAATACTTATAAATTATTAAACAAATGTTTCTGGAATTGTTTGGGTTTCCTATACTGCTAATCCCCTACTAACACGTTCACTTGTTTCGAACGCAAAGCTCCACCTCCTCCGTGTTGTAAGCGATGACGTATTTGCGTTGCTTGGTGTCCAGAGTGCGTCGTTCCTAACAAGTAGATGACAACGGAGTGCGAAGTAAGACGAAAGCACAAGAGAACAAGTGTAAGACAACGTTGTGAACGGAGCTCACAGAGAGAGGGGTGTGTGTGTGACATGGTTAACTTCAGTCAGTGACGAGGTAGCTCACATTGCAGGAAATTATCATTATGGCGACACTGTTATATATTTTATCAAATTAACATAACCAAGTTTGACTTCAACGTTTCCTGGCGTTTTTACAGTCAAGGCCAAAACATTTATCAAGAAAAGCTTTGCTTCAGTGGGGTCGTCACACCGCCTGGCGTGCACATGTTGCATTTCTTGTAAATGATGTTGGGAAAGATATACATGGCTCGTCAAGACGAGATTTTGGACTGTTATAAGTTCACATGCACAGCATTAAGTAGTTGTGATTTTTTTTTTTTTAACAAAGCAGTAATGTAATCTTGTCACAAGGAAGGAAGGAGCCTTAATCTCAGGCGTTATCGTAGTAGTCAATCAACTAGCAGGTCAAAGGTCACGTAGTTGAACTTCCAGGTCAGTACAAGTACCGTATTATCGCTAGGACATTTAGTTAAAAGAAAGAAATCAACAATGGCAAACGTGTCGTTAGAGTCGTTCTTTTTACAGCTCGTGAACAAAGTGGAAAATATCCGCTCTCATTTAAATAGGAAAAAAACCATGAAAGAAGAGGTTCGAACCCTGGAGTTTTGGCGATCCATTATAGCCGAGTGTTTGGCAACATTTTTTTACGTGTTCTTACTCTGTGGAGCCCACATATCATGGCCAAATGTTGAACGCACCAACATTCTGGTCAAATCATTCACCAGTGGCTTGACTATCGCCACACTGGTCCAGTGCTTCGGCCACATATCAGGCGCTCATGTTAACCCAGCAGTGACACTTGCGATGCTCTTAACCCAGAAGATCACCCCACTTAGAGCAGTTCTTTACGTAACCTCGCAATGTGGAGGAGCCATAGCTGGCGCAGCTCTTCTGTACGGGTAAGAATTGGTATATTGACTTTTGAGTGTCACCTAGTTAGAAGAAGAATGTGGAATTAGACAAATTAAACTTGTAGTAAACAAATCACCTCCAGTGTCCGAACATTTATATAAAAAAAAAATAGTACTTCTTAAAATTAAAATTATCTAACTCCAAAGCTTGTAAAAGCTTCAAATACAAATCACGTGGTCGTATATTTTAGCATATTTGATTTATGTTAATAAGTTATAAAAAAAAAGTGGGAAATTGGCGTTCTTATACTAACTAGTATTTTGTGCACAAAGTCTTATGCGTCCACCACAATTTGCCCCATGACATTAGGCAGGGGGTCTGTGGGCTATATATTACGGTTTGGGAATTTCAGTGGTCATTTGGTCAGTTAAAAGATGAAAGTTTATATTCCGTGAGAAAACTCTAAACGAAATAACTGTGAAATAACTTACGTTTCAATTTATTATTTAGTTTCTCATATTTTTGTTAAATCAAACGCTAAACGCAATCTTCACGATCACTTTGACAGTTTTGTCACTCAACACGCGATGGTAGAGCTCTGAATTTCGGAGCTGGCGAGTCGGGTTCTAATCTGTGCGATATGACGATACATTTCCCGCTCTTCAAGCTGTATGTCTTGTTTGTTGAATTACGAGCAGAGCTGTTCGAGAGCTACTTGCGTTAACCGTTCTTAATTTAGAATAGATATATTAAAGAGAGAGAGAGAGAGAGAAAGCAGCTTGTCAACGCCATCTCTGACTGTCTACGCCTAATAGTAATAGTCTAATATTCAACGTAAATATGGCGGCTAAGTCTGAGAACGTCACGTCTGATGACTGATGATGTCACTTCAACAGGTCAGTAGGGTATACTGTTCACAGAAATTTAAAATAGCATTTTACATTAATTTTGGTTGCATTTTTCTATTTTTCGTCTCTAGTTACTACAATAATAGTGAAAAAGTAGATAAGTTGTTTTCTTCAAAACTGAATCTTTTAGACAAATATGGAACCACTTGGCAAAAACAAAGGAATATAAAAACCGGGACATTTGTTACGTCCTGAAAGAGTTGATCGGGACAGAGAGATCCAAACCGAACATATTGTCATCAAGACTATAGCCTATTGTTTGTTTGTTATGAACTGTTGATCGGGACAGAGAGATCCAAACCGAACATATTGTCATCAAGACTATAGCCTATTGTTTGTTTGTTATGAACTGTTGATCGGGACAGAGAGATCCAAACCGAACATATTGTCATCAAGACTATAGCCTATTGTTTGTTTGTTATGAACTTCGCGCAAAGCTACGCGAGGGCTGTCTCCGTTAGCCGTCCCTAATTTAGCAGTGTAAGACTAGAGGGAAGGCAGCTAGTCATAACCACCCAACGCCAACTCTTGGGCTACTCTTTTTACCAACGAATAGTAGGATTGACCGTCACATTATAACTCCCCCACGGCTGAAAGGGCGAGCATGTTTGGCGCGACGGGGATTCGAACCTGCGACTCGCAGATTGAGAGTCGAGCGCCCTAACCACCTGGCCATGCCGGGCCGAGTATAGCCTATAGGGTTTTTTTTTCTTCTAAATTCGTAAGTATCACGTATCAGTTGTTGTTGGTTTTTTTTTATGTTGTCTTGTAACGAAGCCACTCAACTCTGTCTATCAAAAGCCTAAGGTATACTAGACTACTGTTTCATGTTATGTTATGAAAATGATAAAATATATCTCATCTAAAACTTAATTATCAAAAACATTTTATGGTTCGTAACTTGGGAACGAGATTATATGCGTCGAAGTAAATACAGAATAATGAGAACGGTTGTGTGACGTACTCCAGCTGTGACGTAATATCAAGAAGGATTTTGTTTTAAATGTAATCACAGTAAGGAAGAAAACGAAACCTATATAGTTCTGTTGTTTTCGTTTTTTCATCGGCAATCTGTGTTTGTGTTTAGAACGAGTATATGTTGAATCTAAAAACGCTACAAGATTGGTCTAATTTCCTTAGTAGATTTAGTTTCTTATAATTTATTTAACGCAATGATTTGACCATGTGGTACAGCTTTGGATTTCGGTCTGTTCTGTTTGTAACTAAGCACAAAGCTACAAAATGGGCTATCTGTGCTCGTGATTTTGTGTTCCTTATGTTCTATACTCTGTAATTCCTTCCTTCTGTATTCGTTATGTTCTATACTCTCTAATTCCTTCCTTCTGTATTCGTTATGTTCTATACTCTGTAATTCCTTCCTTCGTGATTTTGTGTTTTTTCACGAAGGAAGGAATTACAGAGTATAGAACATAACGAACACAGAAGGAAGGAATTACAGAGTATAGAACATAAGGAACACAAAATCACGAAGGAAGGAATTACAGAGCATAGAACATAACGAACACAGAAGGAAGGAATTACAGAGCATAGAACATAACGAACACTGAAGGAAGGAATTACAGAGCATAGAACATAACGAACACAGAAGGAAGGAATTACAGAGTATAGAACATAAGGAACACAAAATCCGTGTTCGTTATGTTCTATACTCTGTAATTCCTTCCTTCTGTGTTCGTTATGTTCTATACCTGTAATTCCTTCCTTCGTGATTTTATGGCTTGTTACATCATTTGCTGTTATTACACATTGTTGAGGGTCGTATATTTTACTTAATATTTAATCTTTATCTTTAAGACTGCTCTGAGAATAGAAGAGCTTAGAGTAGTGTCTCCGAGGATTTGTGTTTCGAGAGTAGTGGCTCCGACGATTTGTGTTTCGAGAGTAGTGGCTCCGACGATTTGTGTTTCGAGAGTAATGGCTCCGAGGATTTGTGTTTCGAGAGTAGTGGCTCCGAGGATTTGTGTTTCGAGAGTAGTGGCTCCGAGGATTTGTGTTTCGCGCCATGTTACCTCAAAAAGCACACTCCGCACTTTATAGCAGCGAGTACGATATAAAAGCTACGGTTAAATCACATTATTTGATAAGAGTAGCCTCAGAATTAGCGGTTGGTGCTGTTGATTAGCTGCCTTCCTTCTCAAGTACGTTCGATTCGTCATCACGAATGTACGAAACAATAAAAAAAAACCGAAACAATGTTCCGGACTTCTTCCGATTGTTATGGACGAGATGTGAAGAGAACAATGACGTCATCAAGATGGCAGAAGAAGTGTACCAACAGCATTTGCTTAAAATATCTTGTAATAATGCAGAAAATGTTTCGCAAACATTTTTTCAGGCTCTGTTTACAACAGCATTGATCGCATAATAATTACCTAGTCACAAAACAAGAGTTATTCTTGGAAATTAATGTTGGACTGTTTCGTCATCACTTAACTCAGCATCAACATCTTCCAGGAAAAAAATAGAAAATAAAATAGGGAGGGGTAATTGATGCCGTACTGGTGTTTGATGGCGCCCTGAGAGAACGTACCGCTCGCACTACGTACGGTACGGCCCTGGGGCTAATGGATTATCCGCCATATTGGGAATACCAACTTGCAGTTCCAGGTCGTTCTGCTTCCTAATGACACAACGGTGAGTCTGCAGAATTACGACGCTAAAATCCGGGTTTCGATACCCGTGGTGGGTAGAGCATAGATAGTCCATTGTGTAGCTTTGCGCTTAACAGCGGTAAGTCTGCAGAATTACGACGCTAAAATCCGGGTTTCGATACCCGTGGTGGGTAGAGCATAAATAGTCCATTGTGTAGCTTTGCGCTTAACAACAACCAACTAATTAGGTCATCTTAATCAACTAGAACATAGAAAATGTTTTGGCGAATCGAACGTGTTCCTTGTTTAAAATTAAGGGCGGCTATGCGCATTTAGTACTTATGTAACATTTTGCGAAGTTTTGAAATAAACAATCAAAAAGATACGCGAAACAAATCACATTTATTCAGTTTGTAGTTTTTTTTTAGGGTATCTCGTGAACGTTTAATAAAAGTATTGTAGAATGAGAGTTAGAATTCGCGTTGATGTATCTGATGACATAGAATCCAGAAATTCCCGATAATATTGTAAGAAAAGTGGATCCAAAAAAAACTGTCAGATTCTATGATACAGTATCATTAAATGTAGCCAATACTTATCGAACCATCGTTTAACAGTTATATTTGAATATTTGCATTCCTGGTTTCACCACTATAATGCAGAACCGGTTAGACTTGTTTCATTTAGTTGTTGCAGCTTCGGTTTTTTTTTGTTTACGTTTAAGTGAAAATAATTATGACGCACGTGCGTTAAGTTAGCGTGGTTAACAAAAACGAGAACAGGCCTGCTCTTAAGCTTTTTAATATAAACATTATAATTGTTTTGTAGCTACAAATTTTGTCCGTATTAAATAATGTTTAATGAAAAACGAAAATAAACTTTAAATCGTTCGTGTATTATTTTAATATTTTGATAAAACACGGATTTAACAGGTGCATTACGTCTACGGGCGCGTTCGTGCGTGCTTGAATTTGAGTTCATTTCATATTATTTATACGCCCCCCCCCAA